CATAATTTACTAATCTTACTTACATCATTTATATTTTATGTTTTAGTTAATAAACCACGTAAAACTTTTCTGTAAAATAAATACTAATTAATCACTGGTATAGTAAGTGACCATATCGTATTATTTATAATAATTCTATATTATGTCATTGCTATTTACGATCTACCACAGGATCTACCTTCAAATAAATAAATTAAAAACCGATTCTAAGGGGCTAAATAGGCAACAATTAATGTATCACGCCACGATCATTCAACATCACGTCATRTTTGTTGTGACGTGTATTGTGATTGCAATTTGCATTGAGCATTTGAGTTAAACGGTATAGTGTATAGTGTATACTATAACTTTATAATAATAAGTGTTAAATTATATATCATTTAAATGTTAATACTAACTAGGTTACTACTAAGTTCACCAGGYAGGTACTAGAAGTCTAAAAACTTTAGATTATTATATAATATTAACAATAATAAATAATAATAATTCGTGTCCGTCAGTCAGTAGTGCACTGTTACTGTTGTATTAGGAATGACTAATTAGTTCTGGTGGGAGACATATTAATTATTAAATTAATTTAAAGCATATAATAAAATATTTATGATTGTTTAATTTTTTTAATGCTTTTACATAACATTTTATTTCAAGTTTAATAAATGTTTATATTATAAATATGTTTGATATAACTATGGACTATATGTTACCTAGTAAAATATATTGATTTTAGTGAGTTATGCCTAATTTTCTATGGTGTCCACTCTTCCTATAGGAGTAAGCTGTGGCAGCATAAATTATGTAAATAGGATCTTTAACCACAAATAGGCTATCACTTAGAATGGAGGTTAAGAAGKCTCAAAAAGGACCCAAGTTAGGTCCACTCTACTCCTATAAACCTATTGACACTAGGTTGTATACGYCTGGTTTGTTTGAGAACCAGCATCCTCTGATAGCTGGAAATAGGAGTTTAACAAGGAAGTTTTTAAATTAGTATTTAAATTGTAAATTGTGATCCAGTCTTATGTATCTTAATTTACTTCACATTAATTCTGTTCTTTATACTGTTACTAGGTCACAAGAGAAGTGGATCTAGGCATTTTCATATTGGACGCTATGTCAATGATTATAAAGCTCTGTAGCTGGCGTTTATTACTGAATAAYAGAATATAACTTCCAGGTAAACATAAATTCAACCTATTTTTTAGTAATAATCTACCTGATATCGACTTATTTTCAATATAAAAATTAAAACTCTAAAATTCCCAGTAATTTCAATTTCAAAATAACCGAGAAATGAAAATAAATATGAAAAACCAGAATTTTTACAATCAACTAACACTTATTAATAAAATCGAATTTTGATTATTATTTAAAATTTTATCTCAAAATGTAGCTAAGGAAGTGATGTTCTGCTTAACAATTAAGTAACTAAATAATGTAACCATMATTTTTGTGATTATATTAATATTAATGATCAAAATTAAAAATTTGAAGTTTTTAAAAATAAATTGTTTATTATTCTTCCATGAATTCCGCGTTAATTCCCTCTTCGTCGACGTGCCGCGTTCACTAATGTTTTCCTCTCCATGCGCCGACGCGCAGTCCATGTGCTAATAAGTCTATGGACTATGATAAAATAATGATTGCCGTATTCAGAGTAATAGGGTTGATCCTTTTATTAAGAAATATACTAAATATAGTTATTTAATATTTACGTCAGTCTTAAAGGATAGCCCATTGCGTTTAATTGTCTCTATAGTGTTATATTCGGCAACCACCATGTTTGACGCTCCTCCGTCCGCAAAACTCAAGGAGCAAGATCTAGAACATTTGGTAAATCCTCACTTTAGTTTGTTATTACTAATGATTTTATATTAATTTGCATCTTTAATTTACAGGACATCTCTAAACTCACACCATCATCACCTGAAGTTATCAGCCGTCAGGCTACAATCAATATTGGTAAGTTACAAGGTCTCATATTTTTTTATTTATCATTAACTGTTTACTTATTTGGTTACTGTGGACCTGTACACACAGTGGTTTATAATAGGGCGTTCTAGGGGTAAAAATATTACTCCATAATTTAAAATTGATGGCCTATAAATATTGCATGTACAATATCATAAAAGGTATTGAAAAAACTATTTACTATAGATACATTAATGAAAATAGAAAATTATTAATAAGTACTACTTTAGACTTTAGTATTCCTTAATACTGTTTCATTTTGAATCTATGTTATTACGCAATTACATTTATTTATTACTCAATGGTTCGATAATAATAAAAATAAAAATTWATTTTTTAGGAACGATTGGTCATGTAGCACACGGAAAATCAACTATCGTAAAAGCTGTTTCTGGTGTTCAAACTGTACGATTTAAAAATGAACTTGAAAGAAATATTACAATTAAATTAGGTAAATATAAAACTATCTTTTATTTATATTAAACCWTATGCTTTATTTTATACAGTTATTTATTTCAATATAATTGATATTATAGTAATAAAGTGAATATACATTTTTATTATTTTAGTCTATGTGTTTAGTATTGACTTACTTAATATAACTGCTTATATTTTTTACAATTAGTCATAGTCAAAATTAATTTAAGTAAGTTAGTGAAAAGTATTTATCAATAATAACCTTACCTAACCATTTTTCTTTCGTTATAAGTTTATACTCTAAGAGCTAAATATTATTAGGTTTATTTTTATAAACTCGTAACTAAAATCCAAAACCATCTAACTATGCTAAACACCTGGTTTCACGACTAGAAAATCCAAGTAAATCCATCTAAATCCTCTCAAATTACCTTCACACTTCGTTCCTTCGAATGCCCCGCAACATTTATTGGCAATGCTCAAATTCCATCTTTCACGCAAACTAATTATTTAGGTTTAATTCTTGACAAACGCCTTACATAGGGTTGCCATAATTTCATCAAACAAAACTGGGACAGGCAGAAAAATAGTAAATACATTTAGAAATAAATATCATTAAATTATATAAGCCATTGRGTATGTATTAAAAAAATGACACAATAGGTTTTAGTGTCATAACTTATACACTTTATTGCTGTAACAAATTAACAATGTAAACTTTTTTAAAATCTATTGTTCAATAATATTTAACAATATTAAATTCGTCACGAAAATGACATTTTCTTTTTGGTGCCATAATAACAAATAAAATAATAAAAATGAACAATCTAGGCTACGACCTTATGTTCTACTGCTATAAAAGTCATTAGTCTGCCTCTGTATCACCCGTATGGACGTATTGATTGTCGATCGAATATAATAATAAAMCGTAAACTGCACAGTGCACACGACTCGTTTGTTGTCCTCGAATATTCAAGATATTATTTTATATTTAGCTTATRGATTTATCAATTATTCGTTATCTCTAACAATAATATTTTGACTCTCGATTTCAATTATTATATGAAAAAAAAATTGTCAAAATTAAACACTAAACATTTTTTCCTAAAACCGGGAYATATAGGCGTCCCGAAAACATTTTTCTGGACACCAGGACACAAAGTCGAAAACCGGTGACAGTCCCGGTTTTCTGGGACGTATGGCAACCCTAGCCTTAAATGGGGTCCCCACTTAAAAAACAAGCATAAAGCTCTCAATACAAGACTCCACCTTCTTAGACCCTTAATCTGCTCAAAGCTCTCATAAAAAACCAAAAGAACAATATACATGATTCTTTTAAGACCCATGTGGTACTATGGCATACAACTTTGGGGATCAGCCAAACCCTYAAATAYTAKAACTATTCAGGCATTTCAGTCTATTTGTCTACGTCTAATATCAGGTGCCGCTTGGTATATTACCAATGAGTCACTTCATAAAGACATCTGCATTCCAACCTTAAACARCCTTGCCAAAGTCACCTACAAAAAAACACATARAACATTCAGTACTCACTCTAATCCTATAATCAYCCAATAAAATTCCAGGTAATCCACCCAGGCATCTGACAAGGAACTGGTGTAGGAACTGAATCTCCTTAATTCACTTTCCACGGGGTGCCGTCTCTGGGCAACTTCCCCTTCCTGCCAATCAATCACCATTACATTTACACACTCGTTACCGGAAATTTCTTATTATTAAACCTTCTAGTTTAAGTTAATTGTTTTAATGAACTTCTTATCTACCTTTCTAAAATAGCTTAATGTGTTAAACTTTTRCATATCTAGATTAATAACTAGGGAACGGATTTAAATGCTCTAACAAACAAAAAAAATGATCTGAAAAAATTGTTTAATTATAGGTATTTATATAAATTCTTATTCTTAGATAATTATATCATCTCCTATCTTCTTTTTACTCTGAAACTTATTTCCAAAAAATGAATATACGATTTAGATGGTAGTTGAAGGTAGATAGATAGCTTATCTTATTTACCTAAATGCATAGACGCCCGCAGGTGGGCAAGCTGGGGCATTTGGTCCCACCCTTGGCTTTTTCAAAATATTTTTTTTTAATTGAATTTTTAAAGATAAATTACTATATACTATACAACAAATTTAAAGTATAAAATAAGTTGTAATATAATAAAATA